GAGCTGTGAGCCCTAAAAGCCACAGCATTTCAACAAACAGATACACATTAAGCAGTCTCATGAGACAGATATTTCAAATCAAATACCAATTCATTAATTTATAAAGGGAAGCCAAGCATTGATGCAGACTGGATCTTCTTGTTCGCTGATGAGTGTATTCTCTCCCTGGGGTGAATCTATACAGGGAACAGAGTGGTTTTCAGCAGGATGCTCGGTGATCCACAGCCCCAGTGAAGTGGGGGGTTGAATTGGGTGGTTTCAAAGAATGATGTCTCCATCTCCCGTGTTCCTGGACCAGCATCTTTGCTGGTTCAGTTTCGATCAGGGCACATGCCAGGGTTTCCGGTTTGATCCCTGGTGGGGGGCCTCTGGGAGGCAGCGTATTGATACTGCATTCTAACATTGATGTTTCTCTCTAAAATCAATAAGCTATTCTTTTTTTTTTTTTTTATCCTCACTCGAGGACATTTTTTCATTTTTTGTTCAGATAGAGTGGGAGGGAGAGAGAAAGAGAGAGGAGAGAGAGAGGGAGAAACATCAACATGAAAGGGACACATCGAGTGGCTGCCTCCCGCACGACCCAACCAGGGCCAGGAACAAACTACAACCAAGAACTGAACTCGGGTCTCTTTGGACTGCAGGCCGACGCTCTAACCACTGATCCAAACCGGCCAGGGCCAATAAACTATTCTTACACACACACACACACACACACACACAAACCCCAGGAATGGAATTAAGGATCACCATTTGACCCAGGCACAAGGAACAGCTTGCTTTTTGCCAGTGCCAGATTTCTTTTTTCTTTCTTTTTTTTTTTTTTTTATAAGAGAAAGTTTATTTAGAAAGTCACAGAGGTAAAAGAAATGAGCCATAGAAGAAATGGGCTTAGGAAACAAGTTACTGAGGCAAAAGAAGGGCCCTTGGAACTTAACGGGAACCAAAACCGAGTCTCTCTGGACCGCAGGCTGACGCTCTAACCGCTGAGCCAAACCGGCCAGGGCAGGGCCCTTGGAACTTAAAAGAGACAAAGATAAAGGTAATGGGCCTGGGGAAGAGGGAGGGGACAGAGAAGTCATGGGTGTGCCCTGAAGAGGGAGAGGGCTTTGTCAGATTTCTTTTTTTTTAATCCTCACCCGAGGATATTTTTTCCATTTATCTTCAGGTAGAGTGGGAGGGAGGGAGAAAGAGACAGACAGACAGAGGAAAAACATCAATGTGTGAGAGACACATTGACTGGTTGCCTTCGGCAAGACCCTGACCAGGTCTAGAGACAAACCACAACCAAGGTACATGCCCTTGACTAGAATCAAACCCGAGACTCTTTGGTCCGAGGGCCAAAGCTCTAACCACAGAACCAAACTGGCCAGGGCAAGATTTCTTTCTTTTTTTAAAAAAATTATTTATTTTTTCTTTTCTTTTATTTACTTTTTTCCCCAACACCATTTATTTGCCAGATTTCTTAATACCACTGGGGCCAGGGGGCCCTTCCCTTCCCTGTGACCTTCGCTTTTAGCTCCTGGAGTTTCTTCTGCTCCTTCCTCTTTTTGCTTCTGCTCAAATGCCTTACCCTCCTCATCCATCTCTTTGGCTTACTTCTTGGGCTGCTTCAGGGGCTTCTTCTTGCCATCTTGGCCACCCCTTCCCCAGACCTTGCCTCCAGAACCTGACACATCTCTATTTTATTTTATTTATTTTTAAAGATTTTTTTCCCCTGGCCGGTTTGGCTCAGTGGTTGGAGCGTAGGCCTGCAGACCAGAGAGTTCCGGGTTTGGTTCCCACTAGGGACACATACCAAAAAATAAAAATTAAAAAAAGATTTTTTTTATTGATTTTTTTTTTTATCCTCACCTGAGGACATTTTTCGATATTTTGTTCAGATAGAGTGGGAGGGAAAGAGAGAGAGAGAGAGAAAGAGAGAGAGAAACATTGATGTGAAAGGGACACATAGAGTGGTCGCCACCCACACGACCCAATCAAGGTTGGGAACAAACTGCAATCCAGGTATGTGCCCTTAGCGGGAACCGAACCCGCGTCTCTCCAGACCACAGGTCAACGCTCTAACCGCTGAGCCAAACTGGCCAGGACTTTTTTTTATTGATTTTTAGAAAGAAAAGAAGGGAGCAGAAAAGAGAGAAACATCAATGTGAGAGCAAAACACTGATGGGCTGTCTTTGGCATGCCCCCTACCAAGGATTGATCTGCCAACTCAGGCACGTGCCCTGACCAGGAATTGAACTGGCAACCTTTCGGTGCATGGAATGATATCCAACCAACTGAGCTACACCGACTGGCCAGGGCAACACATCTCTAGTTTAAAACATTAGAGGTTTGAGTCCAGTCAGACAGGTAAAACATTTACAAAACACCCATGACGTGCCAGGTCTATTCTAAGCTCAGAAGTTACAGCAGTCAACAAGACTGATATTTGATCCTGCCTTCACTGAGCTTAGAGTCTGGTGAAGAAGAACAACATTAAACAAGTGCCAAGTGAAGGAACGAGCTCTCAGATGACAAATTAATTTACTTTATCCTATTTCTTGAGGTGGAGTCACCTCCAGATATCACCTACTACAGTGAATCATGGGGAAGGATCATTGAGTAAGGAGTCTTGTCTAGACAGAGAAAGAAGACCCATTTTCCAAGCATAGATTCCCAGCTTCCCATGGATTCTAAACCCAAAATCCTTTCAACAAAGTGATTTTCTGCTTAAATTTACCTAGGGTTGGTTTCTGTCATTTCTAACCAAGAACTCAGGTACAGCAACCATTTCAGATACAGTATTTGTGGACCAGAGAACAAGTCACCAAAAGGCATTTCCAAGCCCACTGCCTCAGGGCTGCAACCAGACCTGAAATTTTCCTGATTTGTGCCTTTTGTTCAGCACAAAGCAGGACACACAGGCTGTCTCAATAAAATTTGGTTGGCTGAATCACTCAGTAAGTTCACAAATACCTGCCAGAAGCTGTTTTAGGTACTGAGATTACAAAGCTAGTAAGAGCTAGCTGCCACTTTCAAAGACGTCCCACATGCACCTTAGACCCAACACATCCAAAGCTGAGAGTATCATCTTTCCTGCCTTCTCCCAACTCATATATCAACTCACATCGTGTGTCCCATGTTCCAACAACACTGAACTGCTTGTACTTCTCCTTTCCCTCTGCTGGGATGCCAAAATTGAGCAATTCATGTTCTTAGACTACAGGGGTGGAAGGGAAAGAGACAGACAGCAGGCAATCAGGCTGCAGCTTGGAGACAGGGACGAGACCTTGAATGCCAGGTAAAGCATTCTAAATTAATTGGCAGCTATTCCAAGTTACGTTCCTTGGCATAGGTAGAATAACTGTGTAGTTTAGCTTTTCTTCTTTTACTGAAAGTAGTCTACATGGAAGATGACATAAAGGGTTTATATGTCCATTATCTTGGCCAGAGAGGCAGCTGCAAGCAATGTTCCCATTTTACAGGTAAGCAAACAGTGGTCTTGACTCTACAGCTAGCAAATAGCAAAGTAAGGGCTTGAACAAAGTTTCCAGACTCCAAATCTCCATTCTTCCCTCTACTAGTACAGCTTCTACAGAGTGTTTTGTGTGTGGTGTGAGGGAGGAGCACCTCAGCAGGTCCTGGTCCTGGGGGAACATTCTCCTCACCACTGCACAAAGGGCTAAATCTGTTTTGCTGGCTCTCCTCCTGACCTGATTCTCTTCTCTAGATACTCTATCTTCTTAAAAAAAAAAAAAAAAAAATCACTATTCTCCCTGGCCAATTTGACTTAGCAGTTAGAGCGTTGGCCTGCAGAGGTGGGTTTGATTCCCAGTCAAGGGCATGTACCTAGGTTGCATGTTCAACTCCAGCCCAAGTCAAGGGTCTTGTAGGAGACAACCAATGATGTGTCTTTCTCACATCATGTTTCTCTCTCTCTCCCTCCCTTCCCCTTCCGCTCTATCTAAAAATCAATGGGAAAAAATGCTCAGGTGAGGATTAACAAAAAATAAATTTTTAAAAAATCACAATTTTGTGGGGTAGTACCATCCTCTCGTTTTATAGATGTAACTGAGGCACGGAAAAGTGAAGGTTCAGCCCGGCTGGTGTAGCTCAGTGGTTGAATGTCTACCCATGCACCAGGAGGTCGCCGGTTAGATTCCCCATCAGGGCATATGCCCAAGTTGTGGGCCAAATCCCCAGTGAGGGGTATGCAGGAGGCGGCCAGTCAATGTTCCCTCTCATCAATGTTTCTATCACTCCCTTTCCTTTCCTCTCTCTCTAAAATCAATAAAGAAAAAAAAAAACAACACTTAAGTTTCAGGCTCCAAAGTCCGGAATCTTCACCATCTCGCTTCGATGGGGTCCAAGTTTGAACACCTACCTAGCTAAAGAAACCGGTCAACCGGTGTGGACGCTGGGAATCAGCCCCAGTTCAGGGCTGAGAGCCGCCAGATGGCGCCGTGGAGGTGCAATTGCTTCCCCACCTAACCCCCGCGGGCCAGACGCACCTGAACTAAACCGGGCGCGGCCTGGGAAGTAGGCTTGCGGGGCGGGGCGGGGCGGGGCGCAGCGGGGTGTAGCCCTAGTCCCCAGCCCCGAGTGGGCAAGGACTGCGGCTTTGGTTCGGTCTGCTGGGGCTGCCCGAGTCTTGGTAAAGAGTCACGTCCCCACCAGGCGACCGCCGGGCTGCATCAGTTTGCCGCCTGCCCTGCTCTCCCCAGTGTGCAATTTATTTGGGGGGTATAGGGACTAGAATAGAGCGGGAGAGAGCAGCCAGCAGGGGTGGGGCGGAGACTCCACCATCCCCACCTGTCGACTGTCGGGAGGGGGCGAGTTGGAGGAGGGGCTTGTCCCGAAGGGCCCGCCCCCGGGTCCCAGAGCCCTGGGCGCGCGACGAGATATAAGGCAGCCGGGAAACAATGCGCCTGCATCTCGCGCTCCCGCGCCTATCCCGGTAGCGTCTGCGCCTCCGTGCACGAGCGAGGGAAGGAGGGCGCGCGCGGGGGGCGCGCTCTTGAATGCGGGCCGCGCGCTTAGTAGCGCGCATGTGCTTGGGTGCGGGCTACCCGGCTGCCCCGAGCCGGCCCGGAGCGTGTCCGCTCCCAGTGGCGGGCGGCCGGAGCGAGGTGAGACTAGGGGCGGTCGGGGGACGGACACGGGTCCCGGGGGACGGGCTGCAGGCTGCTTTCTGGGCACAGCGCGCCCCCGCCCGGCCCGGCCGGGCCCTGGGAGCTGCGCTCCGGGCGGCGCTGGCAAAGTTTGCTTTGAACTCGCTCGCTGCAGCCGCGTACGCGCTCTGTGAGCGGCTTCCCTGGGCACGCTGACCCAGGACCCGGCTTCCCGGGACGCGAGGGAAAGGCGTGGGTTCCAAGCCCAGAGGTTCGGAAAGGACGAGAGCCTTGCAGTCGGCTGTGCTTGGGGATCTGGGAACGCCTCCCTCCTTGGGCCCGTACCCCAGTCAGCACGTCCCCCCTTCCCTCTTGCAGGGAGCGGACATGGACTTCGACTCGTACCAGCACTATTTCTACGACTATGACTGCGGGGAGGATTTCTACCGCTCCACGGCGCCCAGCGAGGACATCTGGAAGAAATTCGAGCTGGTGCCGTCGCCCCCCACGTCGCCGCCTTGGGGCTCGGGTCCCGGCGCCGGGGACTCGGCCCCTGGAATTGGTCCCCCGGAGCCGTGGCCCGGAGGGGGCGCCGGGGATGAGGCAGAATCTCGGGGCCATTCAAAAGCTTGGGGCAGGAACTACGCCTCTATCATCCGCCGCGACTGCATGTGGAGCGGCTTCTCAGCACGGGAAAGGCTGGAAAGAGCGGTGAGCGACCGGCTCGCCACCGGCGCGCCCCGGGGAAACCCACCCAAGGTGCCGGCCGCCCCGGACTGCGCTCCCAGCCTCGAAGTCAGCAACCCGGTGCCCGCTGCGCCCTGTCCATTGAGCGAGCCCAAGACCCAGGCCTGCTCGGGGTCCGAGAGCCCTAGCGACTCGGGTAAGGACCGCCTTGGGCCAATCAAGAGGGGGGCACCCCGTGGGTGGCCAAAACTCTGCCACTGTCTGAGGTCAGGAACTTGGTCTTGCAAGCCCTTCGGCCACCTCCCCCTTTTTTCTGGCTGATGCTGCGGGTGTAGCCCCCAGCGGTGTCTGTCTGGCACGTGGGTGTGTTAGTAAACAGTTTGAAGAAGTGGCGTGGGAGCCAGCGTTTCTTTGATGATGATTGGAACCCCAGGGAACAAGGGAGACGGGGTGAGGCATGGAGCTTAGAGAGGACAATACTGGGATTGGACTGTAGGGTATTTCTGTCCTCCGGAGGCTGGAAGGGGGTCCCTTAAAGATCACTCCAGGCTTGAAGTTTTTTGTTGCTGCCTCTTTTCCTGGGAAACTCACACTCCCCTAGGGAGCGAAGAAGCTGAGGAGCCTTTTGGGCAAAGCCAAAGCCTTAATCCTTTTAAAAACCTAGTCTCCTGTCTGCTTTACTTTAAAATGCTCCCACTCATTATCATTTGTGCATTCACACCGTTACCCATGAGACAGGTTGGGGAGGAATGAACTCTCCCCATTTAACAGATGGAAGAACTGAGGCTTAGAGATGGGAAATGACTAGATGTGAGCCCCAGCTTCCTGCCATCTAGCCAGCCTCTTTGCCCAACCCTCCATCACAACCAGGTACTTCTTGATGTTTAGAAGGTCTTAATGGTAGTTTATCTGAGAAAGGTCACACATCACCTTGTTGCTTTGGCCTGACGTGGAAAGGTGCCCCTTTAATTCCCTCCCAAGCCATCTGAGAGCCTCAGCTGCCTCCTTGCAATCGAAAAACGTTCAATGGTGCCTACTTTTTGCAAACTCTGGGCTAGATGCTGGGGTCAAGGATATGGAGCTCCAGGCCCCTTCCCCCACCCTTGAATGCAAGTGTAAACCTCACTGAGGACAGACTCAAATCCCGTGCCACCAGACTACAATGTTAGCCTAACCTCTTCTCAGACTTCTGTACCTGTGAGAAATAGTGGAGAGGGTGCTTTTATGGGGTGCAGACTGAGGCCAACATCAGGTAAATCAGGACAGAGAAAACTCCCTGTCACTTAATAGTAACTTTTACATGACCATTTAGAGGGAACTGGGGAGTGAGGTATGGGAGTTGTCATGCACTTGAAGGGAAAAATAAGGATAACAAGGAAAATTAAAAGTCATTTTTTTCCAGGCCACTGTATTTAAGGTCATTTTAAACCTGCTGGCTTTCTACATCAAGAGCTTGTGTTTGTTTAATGGCCAGAATGGGAATTTTGAGATCAAGAAACCAATAAAGATGTACATCTACAAAGGCTGATGGAGTGGTACAGTGGGAAAGGCACTGTTTGGGGAGTTTGGAGATCTTAGTTTGAGGTCCAGAACATTGTAGAGGTGATGTGTGGACTTGGCTGATACAGCTCTGTTTCTCCCTTGGCACATGAGGGGGTTGGCTTTGACTGTCCAGCTGAAAGAATTTCCTTGCCTGGGTAGAGTAGACACTACTCTCTGAAAATGAGAATCCTGCTCTTACATTATTTCTTACTTTAACCTTCCCAGCCATGAGGTTTAACATTGAAATATTAAAGGTTTGGGATGTGGGGAAGCCTCCTGAATTATTTTCTGACCTGCCCTTTAACCTGAACCTGTTTGCAAGCTCCTGGTTCACAGGCCACATGGCCCAGAACAAAATGCAACAGATTGCAAACAATGAGGGGGGTGGGGAGAGTGACTGATGGCAAAGCTCAGCCAATAGGGGGCAGGGGCTGGGTAAAACAGCATTCCAAACACAGCTTAGCTAACCAATCACAGGCCTTGGGGCCAGGAGGGCTGAATGGTCAGGTTTTATTAATGGAGAAATAATGCGATTGTCCACACAATGGAAGCCTTCCTGACAAAGGGGCTCAAGCTTCCTGATATGCAAGAGACAGAACTGAGTTCTTCTGTTGTCAGACTGAAATGCATTAAGGTGGTCTTCTAGGTGGGGGGCTGAGAAACGTGTGGAGCAGGAAGGTTTTCCCCCCTAAATGCCCCTCTCCTGGTAGGAGTAACCGGAGAGACCTTCAAGCCAGGGAATGACAGGGGCATGTCCAGGTCTCTGGTGTTTCAGCCCTTGTATGGGGATATTCTCCTGCTCAGTTCTTGCCCCTCACACAGGTAGCTTGGAAATGGTCGCTTGTACCTTTGTGAAGTTCCTGCTGCTTTTGCTGACCTGCGATTACAAATCCAACCCTGTTCTGGTCCAGGGAAGGGGGCGGGGCAGGCAACCTATAAATGATGGATGACTTTAGAAATCCATTGAACCCAGGAGCAAAATGCCCCTAAGGGAAACCTTTCCCTCCCCTCTGTGGGTGAGGAGAGATGTGTTGTAACCCTCCCTTCTCTGAATCTTCAGCTGAAAGGGATAGTAGAATAGAGAGGTGGGGGAATAATAGGATTTATAACTTGTGAAAAGTAACAATTCCCCAAGTGCAGGCTGTGCTGGGCAGGAACAAAGGGCAACTCTGCCCACAGACCCCTCATTTACAATTCTGATGGGGCATGAAAGAGCCCGACTGGGGAAGATCTTTATAGCTAAACTTTGTCCCAGGCTGATAGCTCTTTCTCTCCATCCTCTCAGTGGGGGAGGGGAGAGCCTGTGCAGGCTGGGGGCTGTTGGCTTGGGTCTGCCTTTTGTTCTTATCTAAGCCTTGCTGTGCAAAAGGAAATTGGAGAATATTTTCCTTGTTGCTTGTTTCCCCTCCTTTTCTCTTCACACTGCCTTTACCCCATTACAAATGAATCAGCTGTCTTTCTCTTCACTTCAATTTGCTTATATCTAAATTGGGAAAATGTCACCTCCTTTCCCAAGCCCCAGCATAGGGTCCTTGTATGTGTTTTTTTCATGGGGTGTGTTTTTCTATTGATCTCTCTTCTTGGACAGAGGGTGAAGAAATTGATGTGGTGACAGTGGAGAAGAGACAGTCCCTGGGCGTACGGAAGCCAGTCACCATCACAGTGCGAGCAGACCCATTGGACCCCTGCATGAAACACTTCCACATCTCCATCCATCAACAGCAACACAACTATGCCGCCCGTTTTCCTCCAGAAAGCTGCTCCCAAGGAGGGGCTCCAGACAGAGGTCCCCAAGAAGAGGCTCTGGAGAGAGATGCTCCAGAGGAAAAGGAAGATGAGGTACATGAAGAGGTTGAAAGCCCCCCGCCTACAGAAAGTGAGGCTCCCCAGGCCTGCCACCTCAAACCTGTCAGTTCTGACACTGAGGATGTGACCAAAAGGAAGAACCACAACTTCCTGGAGCGCAAAAGGCGGAATGATCTCCGTTCAAGGTTCTTGGCCCTGAGGGACCAAGTACCCACCCTGGCCAGCTGCTCCAAGGCTCCCAAAGTGGTGATCCTGAGTAAGGCGTTGGAATACTTGCAAGCCCTGGTGGGGGCCGAGAAGAGGATGGCCTCGGAGAAAAGACAGCTCCGATGCCGGCAGCAGCAACTGCAGAAAAGAATCGCATACCTCAGTGGCTACTGACTGACCAAAAAGCCTGACTGCTCTGTCTTACAAAGACCTAAGTTTATTTTTTAACCTCCCCTCTCCCCTTTAGTAATTTGCACATTTTGGTTACGGTGGGACAGTCTGGACAGTAAATCCCAGGATGTTTTGCAGCCGGTGCACACAATAAGGGCTTGCATTCTTGGAAACCTGGAAACCCAGCTCTCCCTCTTCCCTGACTCACGGGAGCACTGTCTTCTCTGGCGCCTTTGGCTTCTCAGGCAGGCAGCTGACTAAGGAGCCTTGGGGTCTGCCTAGCTCACTAGCTCTGAAGAAAAGCCTGACAGATGCTATGCAACAGGTGGTGGACGTTGTTGGGGCCTCCAGCCTGCATGAAATCTCACACTCCGGATGAGCTCTAGGCTGGGAAAGGATGCTCCCACTGGTGTCTCTGGTGATGCTGGGACAGCTGGGCCTGGACGCTCTCCCTGAGGCTCCTTTTTCCAGGAGACACACGAGCTGTCTTGGGTGAAGACAAGCTCTCAGACTTGATCAACATGGACTGTTACCTCACTGTCAGACACTTTACAGTAGCTGAGGAGTTGGAAACCTTTAATATATACATATATATATTATGATGTTAGATGACACCCCTCCTCCCACTCTCAATGCTGCGACCTTGAGAACATTTAAAGAGCTTGGCCTCTAGATTCTTTGTCTTGAAACCCTCTGGGCCCTTTCCTCCGAGGGAAGGACCATTCTGTCCTCACAAGGGACTTTTTTGTTTCCTTCTGTCTTTGTTATGCAATGGGCTTTATAGCACCCCTTTCCCACAGGTCAAAATGTTTTCCCAAGACACAGGGAAATGAGTCCTAGCCTAGGGAAGGCCTGCAGTCCTGGCTGTGAACTTGTTCCCTACCCAGGTGTCTTCCGTCTTGGAATCTTCTCAAGGCCGTTGTCAGGCACTTCAGTAGTGAGAACTGTACCGCTTCCTCTTTCCCAGCTCCCTCCCATCTCAATCCCTGACTGATAAGTTTGAAGTTCTACTAGAACCATGCAAACCTGTTCTCCTGCAACTCCAAGGAACTTGTGTCTCTGCAGCCACTCTTAGGCCACTTGCCAGCCTGACATGAGTCAGATCCCTTTCCCAGAATCTGGGCCTTACTGAAGTTTTTACTGGGAGAGCTGCTGGGACTCATCCAGTGCCCCAGAAGGTGGCCTAGCTTCCTGGTGGGAGCTCTGTTTAGTGGACCATGATGGGTTTTGCCCCAGCTGGACTTGGCATCTCCAGGTGAATTCCAGGTGCAACCTTCAGTCTGCGAAAGGCACCCAACCCAACCCTGTAGTGTCTTGTGGGCAACCTCAGGAGCCCATAAGCCTAGCCTGGAAGAAGGATCAGCCCCCTCCAGAACTCTGCCCAGGACAGCAGGTATCTGCTGGCTGTGGGTTTGAAAGTATGGAGGGAAGGATGGTAGAGGGCTCTATGTAGCTTTGGAAAGCCATCTGCTCTTTCCAAACCTATAATGCAAGATGATCTGTTTCTGAGATTGCTTCCCAGTCCTAGAGAACCCCAGTGGGAAAAGTCTCTCTACTTTTTGGAGCATGGTTTTCTGGAGCCAACTGACTTATGGAACTGTTTTTGGAGAATGGGTGGGAAGTAGGTTACTGATGTCTCACCTGAATAGCTTGTGTTTTATAAGCTGCTGTTGGGTATTATGCTGGGAGCAGTCTTTTTTTTTTTTTTTTTTATACTGTATTTTTGTATGCCTTTTGCAAAGTGGTGGTGTTTTTGTACAAGAAAAAAACCTCTTGGGTAATTCTGTTGCAAGAGTCTGATTTATTTTGAAAGGCAAGTTTACCTGAAATTATGTATTTAGTTGTTATTATTGATCACCTGATTTTAAAAGGTTGCCTTCTGGGACATCTAATAAAAGATTTCTCAAACGTGTCAGAGTTGGGGCAGCTTATGCCAACGGATTCTCCCTGTGCCAAGGAAGACTTTTTCAGGGTCGCCACAGGGAGCCAAAGGGTTGCATTTCTCTAACCATGTTGCTAACCTGGTCATTCCACTTTGGGTTCCTGAAATGCCATTTCAGACATGTCTAAACAATGTAGGCTCGGCACTTTGTGAACATGAATTCTCTTGTGAATTGCAAAGAGTGCTGAATTTGTGCTTTAGAAGGCTTGAAATCCTGGTTCTACCACTTGTTCTGTGTCTTTAGCTTTATCTTTCTGAGTCCTAGTTTTCTTATCTGTAAAATGGGGATAAATACTGCTTTGCAGGGATTTGGGAGGTATTAAATGAAGTAGAGATGATAAAACCACCTTCTAAACTGTAAAGCTTTATATTCTTTAGGGTGGTACTGCTCTTATGTTAGTAGTATGACCCTTTTTTTGTTTTGTTTTGTTATTCCTCTCCTGAAGAGGGAGGTGAGGGAGGAAGAGCGAGAGAGAGAGAGAGAGAGAGAGAGAGAAACATCAATGTGAGAGAAACACATCAATTAGTTGCCTCCCACAGAACCCCAACCAGGGCCAGGGATTGAACCTGTAACCCAGGTATGTGCCCTTGACTGGGAATTGAACCCATGACCCTTCGGTCCTCAGATGAGGCTCTAACCTAACTGCTGAGCCAAACAGGCCAGGCCGTGGTGTGACCCTTGACGGGACTTAAGGAAAAAATTCTGTTAATTTTTGTTTTAATGTGATTTTTCTTTTCTTTTTTCCTGGAGTTAATGAAAGAAAATGAAGGCTCTCTTTCCCTCCCATAGTTCTCATAAACTTGCTGTAAATGCAAGAGGAGAAAATTTAATATCTCTTCCTTACAGAGTACTGTGTCTAAGCTCACTTCTCCATATTATGCCACACCAACTACATGCCAGGACTGCAGAAGAGGAAACTTGAGGTTCTAAGAACGAAACAAAACTGCTCAGTTACACAGCTAGTAAGTGAATGAGTTGGGATTTGAAACCAGCTCTGCCAAACTCTGCAGCCAGAAGTCTTAACCACTGCATAGTAATGATCAGCCTGGGTTGTTAGCATGGGGCATGTGGAGGAGGTAAACATGGAATTCCATCACTTAACTGCTTCTTGGAACGCTCTCTCCATGGGGCCGTTGTGCCTCCCACTTACTGGGGTGAAGTGGAGCAAATGTTCCATGACCAGCCCCTCTGCCCATTAGTGGGCTGGGAGGGTTAACCTTGCCCTAGAGAGGTCCCTGTGGGACTGAAAGTAAAACAGTTACTGTTTAGAAAGGCCATGAACATCATGGTGGGAGAAGGAGCTTTGCCTCAGCTACTTTTGCCTTATAGCTAAAACCTGGGTTGGTATTACTTGCCTGGACTCCTGTGGAGCTGGAGTAGAATAAAAAAAAGCTTTAAATTCCTCATTTATCAAGGGACTTGCATCACAACCTGGTAAGAAAGCACTATCTGCCACATGGTACTGGAGCCCAGCTTTCTCACTCAAGGTCACATAACAAAAATCAGAATCCCAAACAGACTCCTGCTGATAAACTTTCCACTCCACCCCCACTGCCCCTACATCACCAAACCCAGTTTATAAGTAGCTGTTAGATAAAAACAGACTTGGATTACTGGGGTTTGTCTTAATTTCCCTTTTAGTTATTGTCGATTCTGTTCCCATCCTTATTTTTAGAGGACATTTGTCAAGAGACTAATTTGTAGGACTTCTCTCCCTTTACAAGACCTTGAAAGAATTCCAGACTCAGGACCCTTAGGTACAGGCACTAATGCTAGTTGTTTCCCATTTTTAATCCTCACAGTAACCTAGAGAACAGGATGGTGTCATCCCATTTCACAGATAAGCAAACCAAAGCTCAGAGACATTAAAGTCATTTAAGCCCACACAGCTAGCACCAGCTGCCTGACTCCAAGCTTCAGCTCCTTTGAGTCCAGCTCTGCTGAGAAAGAAGTGGGAATAAAGCCATCTCCTGGGGGGAAGGGAGGGTGTTTCTGGAATGTGAAGTATTTTAAGCTCCTTCCTAGCTCATTTCTCCAGACTCCTACCTCTATCTTTGTCTGAAAATAGCCAGGACTTTATTCCTGGATTTCGGAGAACACATGCCCAACTTGGGGATGTGGACATAGACAATAAGTAAGTGGCAGCGGAGAAGCCACCCTTGGTGTAGAAAAGAAAGTCATCCTGTTAGACAATAAAAGGTTAATGCATGTGCTTAACTCCTGCCTCTATCGGCAGCTATTTTGGGTGAACTGAGACAGGTTGAGCTATCTTAGACATGCTGAATTCGTCTAAAGTATTCCTAGGGTCAGTATATTGCAAAATATTCACTTTAGAAAGAAAAAGGGGATGGGGATGCCTTTGTAGATCTGGAAGGCGATAGGAGGGAATGAGAGTAAAGAGGTTCCTTTCTAAGGATAAGATAACCAATTGGGAGATGATTGATGACTGGGTGGCTCAGGAGGGGTAAAGCGGAGGTATCTAAATGTGTCAGCTGAAGTTCCATGGGGGTGTGGGCATTTCTACTTTAAGCACAGTGGGCAGCTCTTGTTTTTATTTAGAATTGCTGCTAAAGGAGTCAACTGAAATAATGTTACCATTCTTCTGCGGAAATGTAAATATGTTCTTAAAGTCTCTAATCAAGTGAGTTATTAAAAACAATGAGACTCGAGGCCAGGGATCCAGTAGGTGCCCAGGAAGTGATGGATCACCTTTAAATGTGGGAAGCAGTATGGGTAAGTGGTCTCTCACACTCAACAGATCTCATTTCTAAACCTGGCTCTGCATTTTCCAGCTGTGTGACCATGGGCAAATTATTAACCCCTCCTAGCCCCAGTCTCTGTAAAACAGGTATAAATATCACCTGCTTCATTGGATTGTGAGCAATAGTAAGTGCTCAGTAAATGATCAGAGTTTTTTGTAGTGAGTTATCGCATGTGGGGTGTTAAGTCCAGTGCTTGCCTCATGATAAGCATTCTTATAAATGTGTTCGCTATTATCTTTTTTCCCCAATTATTTTTATTGTAGTTAAGTGCACATAACTTAAATTTACCATCTTAACTGTTTTGTTTTTATCCTCACCCAAGGACATTTTTCCTTTTTTTTTTTTTTTGTTCAGATAGAGTGGGAGGGAGAGAGAGGATGAGAGAGAGAGAGAGAGAAACATCGACGTGAAATGGACACATCAAGTGGCTGCCTCCCGCATGACCCAACCAGGACTGGGGACAAACTGCAACTGAGATATGTGCTTTTAGCGGGAACTGAACCCAGGTCTCTCTGGACCGCAGGCCGATGCTCTGACCACTGAGCCAAAAACCGGCCAGGGCTAACCATTTTTTTTTTTTAACATTGATTTTAGAGAGAAAAACATCGATTTGTTGCTCCAACCATTCGTGCATTCATTGGTTGGTTCTTGTATGTGTCTTGTCTGGGGACCAAACTTGCAACCTTGGCATATCAGGATGACTCTACCAATTGAGCTACCTAGCCAGGGTCACTTGTTATTTATTTATTTTTTTTATAGTAGCCATCCTAACAGATGTGAGGTAGTAGCTGTTGTGGTTTTGATTTGTATT